AAAACCATTAATCCAGAATTAATGCTCAAGGTTAAGGATTTAATCCAAGTATTGCTAGGCTTAGGAGCGCCATAAATAAAGATATTACTTGCTTTGGCGTTACCTTTTAGGAACAAGGAGGAATACCAAAAACCTTGGAGCAAAAAGGTAGGGGACAACCAACGAGGGGTTGGATCAAGTGGTAAGTGGCTTGTTCCAGCTTAAATAAGGTCTTGAGTTCGAGTCCTTGTGTATGCAGCAACCCTCGTTGGGAGACTCACCCACCATTTCCATGTGCGCGATGCGGGTCGGGTCCGGATTAGTCGGGGTGAAGCCCCGGATACCGGACAAGAAACCAAAAAATAAAAGGGGTAGGGGACATCTCCACCCATTCTCAAGAGGAAGGGTTGAGATTATCCTTTTCACCCTTCCATGGTTTCAGGTGAGATTTTGCTTGCAACCGGGTGGCTCCCTTCCATGTTTTGTGTCAAGTGAAAATATCATGCATTGAAGATATGGTAAACTTATGTGTTAAATCAGTTGTTCCAGATATTATCAATTAGTTTTAGGGTCAATTTTCATACACTATTAGAATATAAACTCCATTCTTAAAAGACTCATTGTTTGCTCACTTGATAGCATTTAAAGTTTATAGTGGTCTGTATGTAAAGGACATATATATTAAACCACATAATAAAACCAGACATTTATATTAAACTTGCATATGATAGGATATATTGAATGAAAAATTTAATATTAAATATATAACAAAAAAATTCATGAGTTAAATAAAAAAAAAAAAAAAAAAAAAAAACTACTTCCCAACTAATTCAAATTAGATGCAACCTTTGTCCTGAAATTCACATATTAATTTTAATATTTTGGATAAGTGGTTACGTGAACAGAGGCTTGGGGTAAGAATTTTTTTAAAAAAAATTCAAAGAAATGGCTATACATTTTTTTTTGAACATTTTGTCATGGAACCTTACAATCGTGGTTAGAGCCACTTGCCCGAAGGACAAGTTCAAATGGCTATGCATTTGATATGCTGAACAGAAGCCCTTCTTATAATTAGTTTCGTTGAATGTTCGTTGATTTATTGAATGTTCGTTGACTTGTTGACTCTTCGTTATCTAATGCTCGCCACTCTCTGGAGCATACATTTTTCATTAAATTATTATAAAGGCTCCCTTCCATGTTTTGTGTCAAATGAAAATATCATGCATTGAAGATATGGTAAACTTGTGTGTTAAATGAATTGTTCCAAGTATTATCAATTAGTTTTAGGGTCAATTTTCATACAGTATTAAAATATAAACTCCATTTTTAAAAGATTCATTGTTTACTCACTTGATAGTATTTAAAGTTTATATTGATCTATATGTAAAGGACATATATATTAAATCACATAACAAAACCAGACATTTATATTAAACTTGCATGTGAT